TAAATAAATAATGTGTTCGCTTTTTTATTTTATTAACATGACATTTGGATGATGACCAGCCAGTCACTGGGAGAGCTTGTGTATCTCTCAGCCTCGGCTTGGTGTTTAACTTTCTGGCTACACGATTGATTACTCCCACCCCTTTAGCTTACAAGACTCGGCTCGGCTCTTGGGAAGCTCACGGCTGTGGCTTCCTTTGTCGAGTCCCATCCATCGCATGTTTGGTCGCAAAAGAGGCCCCAGCCTTGAGCTTCCAAAGAGCTGAGCAGGGCTGTTCAGGACAGGATGCCGCCGGGGAGGTCACTCATTCATAGGGTCGCCATAAGTCGGAGGGGACTTAACAGGACGGAACAACAGCAAAAGTGTGCTGTTTAACAGCAACCCTTACATACCAGACCGATTGAGATCCGTGAATTTTCCTGGATTGCAATCCACCTCAACCACAGAGAGTGGAATATTTAGTCACAAGTTGATATACTACTTGCATTTGCATGCTTTCAAACCGCTAGGTTGGCGGGAGCTGGGACAAGCGATGGGCGCTCACTCCGTCGCGTGGATTCGATCTTACGACTGCTTGGGCATCTGACCCTGCAGCACAGGCTTCTGCGGTTTAGTCCGCAGCGCCACCACGTCTCTTCACTCATTCATAGGGTCGCCATAAATCGGAGGGGACTTAACAGGACGGAACAACAGCAAAATTGTGCTGTTTAACAGCAACCCTTACATGCCAGACCGATTGGGATCTGTGAATTTTCCTGGATTGCAGTCCACCTCAACTACAGAGAGTGGAATATTTAGTCACAAGTTTATATACAAGCTTTGGCCATCATGAGAAGAGAAGACTCCTTGGAAAAAACCTTGATGTTAGGAAAGTGTGACGGCAAGAGGAGAAGGGGATGACAGAGGATGAGATGGATGGACAGTGTCATCAAAGCTACCAACATGAATTTGACCCAACTCCAGGAGGCAGTGGAAGACAGGAGGGCCTGGTGTGCTCTGGTCCATGGGGTCACGAAGAGTCGGACAAGACTAAACAACAACGATATTGTAAGACTCAATTAAGATGCACGGAGGAAGAGAAAAATGATATTTTTCACTGACAATGGCTTTACTTACAGTATGGTACAAAACTCACTTAAACCTATGGGTCACAGTGCTATAACGACAGCAGCAGCAGGAGGTACATTAGCAAGAAAAACAACATATTTAATATTTCATGTATACAGTACTTGCATAAAGTAACATAAGCCTCTACTTCTGATACTGTTGACACTTTGCATATACAGTATCTCATTTACTACCAAATCAGATACAGTATTCTCACAAGCAGTATATGTATCTGAGTGGAGGGGTGTATTTCACAGAGACTGAGGAACGTGGGCAAGAAACTGGGGTATGGGGTACCAAACCAATATAGAGGGCAAATTAATAAATGAGAGGAATCAACCACAACTTCCTTGGACCCACAGATACAAAGAGTTGTTATACTATCTCTCTTCTGAAAAGGCTGGTGGCGTACACTGGAAATATCGTTGTTAGCACAGTTATTAGCAAATTATGTTTTATTTAAGAGGTACCCACATGAATTGAAGATTTGTGAAATGATGCATAAATCCCAGGCTTTTAAAATAAGTGATGTTTTATATAAAACGGTAGCAGGAAGAATTGGCCATTTGTGAAATGATGCATAAATCCAGCCACTTAGTCCTTTTTTCTTTAAGCAGCTGCTAGCTCTGTTGGAGGCAAAGGTGGGCAAAGACTCTGTCAGTCCCGTAACTGTAAAATGGACCTGACTCCGTTTGCCTAAGACTTCTCAGGTAAGTCTGAAGTTATGCTTTAACACACTTTTTGGAAAGAAAAAAAACACTCATACAAGTCAACTTCAGTCAGTACAAGGCAAGTGCACCTCAACCAATACAAGGCAATTTCTGATTTTCCACCTCAGAAACATTACGATATTAAAAAAAAACTTTGTCCTACAAATTTAGGATATTGTGTTTTTGTATCCATGATTCAGTAAGCCAGGAAGTGGCCCAATATTGCTGCACAGTACTGTTCTTGTATTGCCAGAAGGAAAAAAAGATGTCAAACTTTACATAGCAGCAGTCAGCCTGAATGTTGATGACACCAATGGCAGCAGTCAAGATGGTCTACAGATACCCTCCTGTGTTCAGTATTCAACCAGCAGTCAAGATGGTCTACAGATACCCTCAATATGTGACACCAAGCAAGAGTAAATCCCAGAAGCTAACTCTTTTTTTATCAGTTAACCACTTCTCATCCAAACACAAAGCAATTCTGTGTGAATGACACATTTTGGCATGCGAATGTACAACAATGACAATATGCTGTTGATTTGCAAGATTTAAGCAGAGTTGTTAATCATAAGACATTTGGGAGGTCATTAGCTTATATTGTCACCACACATCAGAATTGACTCAATGGCACATAACATCTTTGGAGTTTTTTTAAAAAATATATTATTATCAAGCAATTGTGGAGTGATAGGATGGATGGAATGGAGATTATGATAGGATAGACATAAGCACCAAAGCTTTGCTAACATCAAGTAGCCACAAAGCAAAGAAACAGCAAATCCATAGCTTAAACAAATGAGCTTCTGAATATTTTTCCTAGTATTTTTTTAAAAAAATAAAATATTTTCAAATATATCTATTTTCAAATAATAACAAATTTTAAAAAAAAACCCTACAACCTGGATTTTTCCCAAATAAAAAAAGCAGGTGGGGCCAAACATTCTCTTTCAAGGTATGCAAGATTGGACTTTTTAATTTATATGATATATTTTAAATCTGGGGATGTTAGGGTCACCTATTTCTGAATGGTGGAAAACAGTACATCTAAATTTGTCACTTAAAAAAATCATTACTCAAAAACCCTTTGCCCAAATTTGGCATAGAGCAAGGGCAGACTCTCTGCTATACCTGTGTCAGATTTAATGCTGATCCAAAGCCCAGCTCAAAAGTTAATTTTCGTTTGGGGTACCATATAGAATGTTGATTTGCTCTGCCAGCAGAAGATCACTGATGCATTCTTGTGCAGCAATAACATATTGACCTTTACATCCATTCCATGTAGGCCTGAGACTTAATTGTTAAAATTTATTTATTTATTTTAAAATTTTTACTCTACTTTTCTCCTTAAAAAGGACCTAAGGTAGCCTAAACCATTAAAAAGACAATATTTAAAACTAACAATGGCAAGCATACAAATATTTTAAAAGAATTAAACAAATATTATATTTTAAAGGGTAAATAAAATCAATACTAAAAACACATTTAAAAGCAACAATCCATTTAAAACCCCTCTCAGACAACCAATCACTAAAGGAAAGCCTCCCTGAAGAGAAATGTCTGTTTTGCACAAGGACAGCAAATACGGGACCAGCCTGGCCTCCCACATGAGGGAGTCTGAGGGCAGCAACAGAGAAAGCCTTCTCCTGTGTGCCCACCAAAAGCACCTGCAAAGGTGATGGTATCTGATGATGTTCACACCTGAGCAGGTAGCTTGAGATAGCTTGGGACCCTGCCATTTAGGGCTTTATAAGTTAGAACTAGAGATGGGAGTACGAATATCCCCACACAGGTGGAGATAACAAGGGTCCAGCCCCATGGGGCCGGATGATCCACTCACCTTCCGCTGCTACCGTGGGCTCTGCACTTCCTATCACTTCGGAACTCACGGTCTGCGAGCCACTCCTGGCAGGAGGTGGGAGGATGAGCCTCACTGCCAGGTCAAAGAGTGGCTTGCAGACCGCGAGCTCCAGAGTGATAGGAAGGGAGCGCGGAGCCCGCGGCAACAGCAGAATGTGAGTGGACTGTCCAGCCCCAGGGGACCTGACCCTTCTTATGTCCGCCTGTGTGGGGGTACAGTGGACCCTCTACTTACGGAATTAATCCGTATTGGAATGGTGTCTGCAAGTCGAAAAGTCTGTAGGTCGAATCTCCATTGACCTACAATGCATTGAAAACCAATTAATACCATAACCGACGGGTTTTTTTCTATTTTTGTTCCATTTTGGGTTTTTTCTGGTCTGTAAGTCGATTCTCCGGCTGCAAGTCGAATCTAAATTTTGCAGCCAGAGAAGTCTGTAACTCAAAAAGTCTGTAAGTCGAGCCGTCTGTAAGTCGAGGGTCCACTGTATTCGTATACAAATACAAATCCCCCCATCTCTAGTTAGAACTAGCACTTTGAATTGTGCCTAGAAATGGATCGGTCACCAGTGAAGCTGCCGTAACAAAGGCATTATGTGACTCCTGTGACCAGCCCCCGTTACTAATCTGGCTGCCACATTTTGTATCTAGTGAAATTTCTTGACACTTTCCAGAGGCTGCATCACTTAGAGCAGACCTGGGCAAAGTGCGGCCCGAGGGCCACATACGGCCCATGAGCCGCTCCTGTCCAGCCCACCGGTCATCACTCCAGTCCGGTCTTAAAAAAATTGAATCAACCCACCATGGGAAGTCTTGGCGTGTAGCTATGATAAACAAGATCTCCAGTGAGATGCTCATTTTGGGCCAAGGAGTG